ATCGCCACACCCTTATGTCGTCTTAGCTCTGGGGCTGCAGAAAACTATTATTTGGATCATCGATGAATCAGATGGGGTCTCAACTTGATGAATCGACCAATCGGATAAAACGGGAAATTTTTCTAATTGGTATAGACATTTTTTCTCTCATTCCTTTACTGTAACAACAGAACATGGTCTGTTTGTTAACAGAGTTGTTAAAATAAAGTCAACTAAATGGAATGAGAACAATCCTGGATCCGTGTCCTCGCTGAAGCATCAGATCGATACTCTATCGGCAGATTCCCAAAATCAAATGATTTGGACTCGAGTGCAAAAAAACCTGATCAGGATATATATATATATATATATATATATATATATATATATATTTAGTTTAACCCTCTCAGGCTCCAAATAAGTTTTGATAAAAGGACGAACAACTAAATCCTTCAGCGGTACTTCTGAGTTATAAAATGCTCCTGAAATACGTATGTGGAGTAACCAGGTAGGTTTTAACGTTGCACAGCTGCAACGCCTGCCTCCAGAGGGTTAAACGCTGCTAGGGAAACATGTTTTCTCTCCTTCCTTTACTTTAACAACAGAACATGATTAGAAAACTGTTCAGTAGTGTGCAAAACAACATGCTATCACCTAAATATACCCATAAATAAACTATGATCAGTAAAATTTAATGTTGTTCATAAAACATGCAGTAGTAAGCTACTGGAAATGCTAATAACATTTAATTTCTACTGCTTAAGATGTAATGGTGACATATATATTATGTACGGGTTAATGTTGACAGGCAGATGCCTTTGTGAAGCCGTAACCTGACTGCAGCGGCGCCGGTTCTGCTCCGTAGCACTGCAGCTAATGAACAGGACGATGATGGGGGCTTCTCCTCCGCATGTAGAGTTTAGATATTCTTAGTTTCACTACCATCTTGTTTTTTCTGAACCCACTTGTTTGTGAGCCTGCTACCCACTAGCATTAGCTATTCTGCTTGTAGTTACACGTTTGATAGCAAACCTTGGACTGTTTCTGCCTCCACGTCTTTGCTGGTTTCTCCGTTTTCCTCCACAGCACCCAGAGTCAGGGGCGCCTTAAAGGGGAGAAAGGTTAGGACGAGTCTAAGGGCCCAAGGCTGTCAGGGGGCCCAAAAAAGTTTCAAACTTTAATAAAAAATTAAATTTTAAAAACCATAAGTACTTTACTTTGCAGTATTTTTTCTAATTTAACACATTAAACAAACAATATTTTTGTCTAAGTCAAATGTAAATGAATTCAGAGGTCTCTACTTTATTTTGACAAGTTAGTTTGAACATTGAAATAAGCAAGAATGCTTGTAGACATGCACAATTAAGCAAAACTGAAACACTAAGATAAAGTAAATATATAATTTTTTTTTCAATTTTTTTCCTCCCTTCGCATCTTGGAAGGTGGAGCCACAGCGCCCCTTATGGAGGAGCCGCCAGGGGGCCCAAATTGATATTTTTTCACAGGGCCCAACATCTCTAGCAGCCCCCCTGCCTAGAGTAGCACAGAGTGTGCCAGTAAAAGGCATCTTCCTTACACAATCATTACATGTGCGACATATATGTGCCTCTCGTTCTGATCTGCCTCGGTCTGCTCTGCTGCCGCATCAGATGAGCTGTGCGCATTGACTGTTACATAAAGGTCGCACAACATGAGCAAAAGCTGCACAACACAACGGATCGATGACGAACAGCGTTGCCAATGCATTTCCTCATCAAGCTTTATCGATTTGTTGTTGCAGCCCTAGTTAGCTCCTCGCTGATGAGACTGTTGCTACTATAGTACTCTGTTTATAAACAGAGTTCAGTAAAGTAAAACTACAAAAATATGACTACCAAGAAACTGAAATGGTTGAAATTGCCTGACTGAACGAACACACTAAAGAAGGCAAAAGTGATCAGGAAACGCTTAATATCTTTGCAGGAACTCCGTTATAGTTTGAGTCCAGGCCATTTACCCTAATAGTTAATGACATATTACTTGTTCTCCTGCTAGTTAAATCCAAATGACCAGATGACCCTAGTAAGTAGCCTGGCCTGCCAGACTCGTCCTCTGTTTAGAGAGAGAGTGGTAACTCACAGGCAGAGAGGCACATGAGAGGCGGGACTAGGCTGCTCAAAAATGACCAATCACAAAAAAGACGGAAATCCCAACTGTACCGCACGACGTGGTAGTTTTCTAGTTGTAGTGAAAAAATAGCGGCTGGCAACGGTCCAAAACATTTTTTTTTAGAAGAAGAAATGCTTTTAGAGCATCTACTTGTGGTTTTAAAGACATCTGAGTCATTTAGAACAGAGGAACAAGCCGCAGCGAACTCCGCTTCAGACGCCATGTTTATGACAAACTCAGCATTATGGTGTGTGTGTGTGTGACGTACGCTACTCAGCGCTGATTGGCTCGGTTAGAATTCTCAGGGAGTGGGGTTATTTGAATAGGAGAGTTCCCAGACCCTTTCTCTGTGCAGAATTAAACAGAGGAGGAGTTTAGCAGGCCAGGCTACCTAGTAAGGCCTTCCAGAGCAACAACATGAACTACCTTCTGACCCACAAACTGGTTGTTTCATCCTCAATTCTGGTGACTCTGGTTCCTCACTGGAGCACATGTTGGAGGGCCATGTTGATGGATGGTTTACCAGAACACCTTTGGAGTACATCAGTAGTCTTCCTCCTTGCTAAACACCTCCCAAGCTAGGTGTGATGCATTGGGATGCTGTCAGAATAATCCCACGTGGACTAGAGATGCTCCGATCCAATCGTGTGATCGGAACATCCCTAGTATGGATGGTAGACTTGAAGTTTTCCTAAGACAATAACAATTTATTAAAAGATTCACTTTAATCTCTTTCTGGAGCAGAAAACCCAAAGGTTCCTTAAACTCAGGGTTGACGAAACTCAAACAGCTCACCAGCCAGCCTTCAACTCATCTCTGCCAGTCTATGAGATGATTTTGGTGTAAAGGCACTATCATTTAAGTGCTGGGGATTGTGTGTGTTTGTGTGTCATAATTTACTCCGACAAGCTGGTTTATGAAGCCTGATGGTGTCAATTTTATCTGGTCTAACACAAAGGGAAGATGCTGGGGCTCCATTCTCATCAACATGTCTGCTTTGTGAAACAGTAGCTAACTGTGTTCATGTAAACACACACACACACACACACACACACACACACACACACACACACACACACACACACACACACACACACACACACACACACACACACACACACACACACACAAAGAGCATCACTTAGCACCCAGTTAAGAACCATTTGATGAAAACCTCCCATTTCCTCAGCACCTCTCACCACTGGCACTTCATTGTGCTTCATTAGATGCTAACGAGTAGCAGAGATGACAGAACGCTATCACACCAAATTACACAAATAAAGCAATAATCATCTCTCAGTGTGATGCCTCCATTCCACCATGTCCTGCCTGGCGGGAGGCAACGGTGCAGTCAAGTCTTCCACAAACACATAATGGATGGAATAATTTTCAAATAATGTGCGTATGTGAAAGCACATGAGAATGGAGGGAGGATGGAAAACAGAAGAAACAGGAGTAATGTCCACATGAAGATTTAAGGTCATGCTGAAACGTTTTTGACTAAAGATGACAGATGGTGCAACCGAAACAAGGCGGACAGAAAGGAGGAATAAAGAAGAATGAGATGAAAACGAGTTAACAGATGCCAAATAAGGAAACGGAACCTTTACAATGTCAAGCTGTGTGTGTGTGTGTGTGTGTGTGCGTGCGTGCGTGCGTGCGTGTGTGATCTACCTAGAGCTGTCACCTAGTGACTGTGGTCCCCTAGACTCACTCTGTTTGGAGCAAGTCGAGGACGGGATGCAATCAAACTTCCATCAGTTAAACGAAGACAAGACTGAAGTTATTGTCTCTGGAAATCAGAAGGATGGGATGGAGGGTACTGCTCAGCTTGGCTCCAGAGGAATAAAGACAAAGACCCAGGTTAGAAACCTTGGTGTTATACCTGATGTTGAGCTCCACTGGCCACATTAAGGATACAACTAGATCAGCGTTTTATCATCTGCATCAAATAACGAGACTCAGAGAAGACCTAGAGAAACTCATTCATGTGTTCATCTCCTGCAGGCTGGACTATTGCAATGGTCTTTTGACTGGTCTTTCCAAAAAGCTGTGAAGCACCTGCAGCTAATTCAGAATGCTGCTGAAGAACCAAGAGAACCGAGCACGTCACGCCTGTTATTAGATCCCTACACTGGTTACCAGAAAACTACAGAATCAATTCCAAAGTACATCTACTAGTTTAAAACTCACGCAATGACATGGGGCCAGAATACATGTCAGATCTCCTTCAGGTATATAGTCGTAGTAATAGTAGGAGTAGTAGTAGTAGTAGTAGTAGTAGTAGAAGCAGTATTAGTTATTTTAGTGATGGTACTAGTAGTAGTAACAGTAGTATTAGTAGTAGTTGTGGTGATGGTAGTAGTAGTAGTAGTAGTAGTAGTAGTAGCAAAAGTAGTAGTAGTAGAATTATCAGAAGTTGTGGGAATAGTAGTATTAGTAGTAGTAGTTGTGGTGGTGGTCTTAGTAGTAGTAGTAGTATTAGTAGTGGTAGTAGCAGCAGCAGCCATAGTAGTAGTACAATTAGTAGGACTTGTAGTACTAGTAGTATAAGTAGTGGTGGTATTGGTCTATTTTGAACTTTATGATGCAAAAATGGACAAAAACTGTGACGGAACCATGAAAAGGACATCAGTAAAGTTGCTTTGACCGTTAAGCACCAGAACGTTTGAAAACTGATGAAATTCTTGTGGAATTACAAATAATTGCACTACAACGACCCATTTAGGTTTCCAAAGCTTATTAAAACATTTTAGTGTCGCGTTAAAATGAAGTAAAGAGCAACAACATGTTTTACTCCTCGCTGAATGGATCCTTTTACCTCAATAGTATAAAAGTTTCATGGTCAAACCTTCCCAACAAATGGAACCTACTGATTGGAGAAGACGCTTTCTGGTTTCCTCCGTTGCAGTTAGTTGTTCTGTTGTGTGGTGGTGGGACGGGTTTATACGACTGTCCGGTGGCTCGGTACATAGCCTGGACCCAAAGCACTCGGTCCTGCTCGTCGTCGCTGGCAAACACGATCAGGTCCCCTTCCTTTACTGCATTAAAAAACACTCGACCGCCCTGCAGACCTACGGATGAGAAATAAGAGGGGCGGGGCTAAACCAATGCTGAATCAGTCAGGATAATAAAACATCATGATTGCTCTGCTCATGGTTGTGTGTTCCAACATAAAAGATTAGTAGTTTTACTCTAAAATATACAAAAAGTATATACTTTCAAATAGGGATGCAATGATTTCCAGCTCCAGGTATGTCAGGTTACCTGCTGATAAGGACTCTCTCACATGCTTAAATGAAGATTATTTTATATCACACATGTGCAGACCACTACTAGGTTAGTTATACAGACTCCACTCAGGATCACAGAGCAGGGAGACAGTTCCTCCACCCAGCCTTTCCACTAGAAGCGTAACACAATAGATGTGTTTCTCCTGTGAGCTCCCTTCCCACTGAGAGCATTTCAGACTCAAAACCATTCCACGTGGCTGGTCCTGTAAGGCCAAACCCTCACGGGACTTCAGCTGTTCACGTGATAGCAAGACAACAGGATGGATCCAAAAAGGTCTGACTTTGTTTCTGTTCTGTCAACCTCGGCTTTGGAGGTTTTACAGGAAATCAGGTTTTTTTTTTCTGCATGTGACTTATTTTGAACGTTTCTGGATTTTTTTACACTGCTTAGGTGTTTGACTTCCTGTCTGGCCTGATCCGAGCTGCTGAGAACATGTTCGGTAACACGCAGATTAGACTCTGGGTGTAACGCATCTATACTGCTTCACGGCCAGTGGAAACACACCCATCCACTATGATGGCGGCTAATTGCTGCAAGCTTTGTTTGGCAACACTTAACTGTCCGGTGGAAAGGCTGGTCAGCGGGGTTGTCTCATTATTGCAGACGTCCTAATTTCACTCGTTCACTTCCTAAACTCTGGTTTGATTGTGAGCGCCCTTTATTGACCTTTGATGTCTTCAAACAGTAAAAGACAAAAATAAAGTCGGAAAAAAACAAAACCGCAGGAAAGGCTTGACGAGACGTCACACCTGGAGGAAAATCCTTCCTTCCTCCATGACATCGCTGGATGAAAAGGTGTTTTACCTACACACGTCTGTGGGTTCAATGATACCCAGGTTAGAGAACAAACCTTCCTCTCTTTGCATGTGCAACACATGGAGGTGGGTTGGTGGTTTTCTCCATCATTGGTCAGAGGCAACTGAAGCAGAACTACAAACATTCCTTCAGGATCAAATGTTTTTATTGATAATTGTGACAAGCTTACGGCAAGAGTCAGTATTTGCAGCGTTGGTTCACCTCAGAAGTTACCCTGACCTGCTGAGTTTAAGCACACCGCCATGACAAAGAGGGAGTTCGCGTTTTTAATTCGTCAGATCAACATCCAGAAAACGTGTAAAAACCACCTACCACAAGAACCAAGGCAGGACGGTTAGTGAGGATACACACGTGTGTCATTCTCAACTGTAATTAAAAGTTTTTCACACATTTTATTGATTGTTCACTCAGTCTAATGCTGGAAGTGTTTTCTGTCAGCCAACCAAATCAGCTAACCTCAACACAGCTAAATGTACAAAATCCAGCTGGGACTACCTGGCTGTGGGTCGCAGTAGTCCACCGTGTAGCCCTCCAGCTGCATCAGCTCCTGAGGTTCAGCTTTCTTCTCTCTGTAGCTGCACATGGCAAACGTGTACTGACTCACCTGCAGGGCGCACGCACACACACACACACACACACGCGCACACACACGCGCGCACACACACACACACACGCGCACACACACACACACACACACACACACACAGAGTGGTTGGTCCTGACGGCAGCCATGATTCAACCACTGAGTGAAGATACGTTGCTAGGATAGATGAATGTTAGAGGCGGCCTCCCCATCACCAGCTCCCTCTGTGAGATTTAGCATGGGGGAAGCAAACCCAGCCAAAGAGCCTTACTTCTGGCAGCACTAACACGAGTACACGGATTAAAGAATGAGAGTATTAGAGCTACATACATACACAAAGCATTTTAATTACTCGCTGAAATGAAATGTAATTAACCGAATCCTGCATGAAAACTACTGACCTGCAGCCTCTGCTATTTCTGATAATGACTTTCTTTAATTGTTTTACTTTTTAGTTCTTGTCTGTCTGTACCACTATAATCGAGCTCCTCTGTAAAACCCCATAAATCACATTTGAATAGAATCAACAAACACAGATGATGCTATCTTTACACGAGAACCAGAAGAGTAAACAGTCATACCTGCACAAGAGCAAAATATCGTTTTTTCCAGCGTTTCCACACTCGTTGTCCTGAAGCATAAAGGTGTCTGAAACACATATAACAACCTAAACTAAAACACTGATGAAGGTTTACATCACACCAATAGTTTTATTACAACTGCAAGAAAGGTACCGTCTGTGATTTTAATCCTCATTATTGTGCTTTCAGCTTAGCAACTCATGACTAACGACATACTGAGCTCTTTATAGTTGTTTTTACTGTGAAAATAAACAAGCAAACATACCAAGTCAAGGAAGCACTTTGCTTATACAAAAGAGCAAAAAAAAAAAAAAAAAAGGCACAACACAGAAAAGACTGAGGTCAACACTCAAACACCTTTATATCTGGCTGCATTTAAAACGATAACTAACAGTCGAGAAAATCACAAAGGAGCTACAGGTGAAACCGGAAAAATACAATATGCTGCTGCAGTTCATTAATGTCAATAATTCAACTTAAAAGGTGAAACTAATCTAAGAGACAGACTTATTCCACGTAAATCCACATGTTTCAGCTTTTATTTTGTTATAATTGTGATGATTATGTCTTACAGCTGACAAAAACCCCACATTTAAAATCTCAGACTATTAGAAAATTGTGAAAAGGTTCAATATTCTAGACTCACAGAGTCACACTCTAACCGGCTAATGAATTCAGAACACCTGCAGAGGTCCCTGAGCCTTTAGATGGTCTCTCAGTCTCAGCTGGATCACTGACATTAATGGATTTTTGCATCAGATTCTCGTATTACCTGTTTCACCCGTTGTTCCTCAGAAAGATGACACTAAACCTCTGTTGGGGAAAAAGCACTAGAATCTTGAAATAAAACAAAAAAGTGCTCAGGTGTAATCCAAACCATGCTTTGTTAGATTTAGTTTGTGCTCAGACATACTTTGATAATCATACATTAGCAGCACATTCAATCAGCTGCTGGACCAACATTTCCCTGCATCCATTCATACTGTTTGTTACTTTTTCAAACTTAGTCTGTTAAGGGTTCTGTTCTGCTACCATTTTCATTTACACATGTTCAAATAAACCCGTTAAGCAGATGGGCCAACCAGCTGATCAAACAATCAACATATAGACAGAAGGAACCCTGCACAGATAAACCAGAAGCAGAACAACGTAAGCCTGTGCCAGAGTTAAACTCTGGATTAGTAATCATTGCATGATTAAGAGCTTGTTTTCTGCATCGTCTCACCGAAACGGCCCAATGGACGGGTGGTAACCGTGCAGGAACACAAAGTGTTACCTCGCAGCAGAGTAGCTCTATGGAGGCAAGTGAGATGAGCAACGGCAGCACAAAAATGCCACAAGTGCACAGTGGTACCACGGCAGAGCAGAGTTTGGGTAGGAGTGTGTGATACAGCTGGTGCTGTAGGGCCAGGGTCCTGCTGGAGCAAATAACCAACCCTGACAGCTGCAATAATAATAATAATAATAATAATAATAATAATAATAATAATAACAATAATAATATAATAATAACAATAATAATAATAACAATACTACTACTACTACTAATAATAATAATAACAAGACTAATAATAGCAATAATAATAATAATAATAATAATAATAATAATAATAATAATAACAACAACAATAATAATAACAATAATAATAATTTAATAACAATAATAATAACAATAATAATAATAATAACAATAACAATAATACTACTACTAATAATAATAACAAGAATAATAATAGCAATAATAACAACAACAACAACAACAATAATAGTAATAATAATAATAATAATAATAATAACAACAACAACAATAATAATAATAACAATAATAATAATAATAATTATTATTATAATAACAGAGATATTTAGGAGATTGGAGGCTGGCAGCGACACTTGAAGCTGTTGACTCGTCAGTCCTTCATGAGAGGTTAGCAGTTTCACTGATGAAGATAATTGTTTTTGACATAATGTCAGAAAAGGAATTAAACTTTGAAAAGCAAAATCTTTAAAACCTACCAGCAGGAAATCGATCCTGTTTTTTCCTTAAGATCTAAAGAAACATTTGATGTAATCTGTTAAATAACATTGGTTAAAATTAAATAACTCACTATAGAAGCAGGGCTTTATTTGTAAAATTTACTAAAATATCAGAAAGGTTTCCTTCAGCTTCTAAATCATTTTTACAACTTCATACATTTGTCTCCATCACCCATTTCATTGAGTTGTTTGCTATTTAGGCTCGGGTGACTGATTTTCATTATTTAATTACAGACATAAATCTTTAGGGTTTGGATTTCTACTTGACAATAGAAAAAAAATGAATGTGACATTAATCAATTTTAATGTTAAAATACATTTAAATCAATGGTTATTTGATGTAGTTATAAAAGATTTCTCATTTTCAGAAAAAATAATGTTTTATATAAAAAACAGCCATAAAAAATAATATCTATATATCTATCTATCTCTATATCTCTCTCTCGCTCTCTCTCTTTCTCTCTCTGTATAAATATATATATATATATAAAAACAGAAAAAAAACCTCTTTAAGGAAGCTTGATGCTCTCTTAGTGCATTATTCACCTTCATCTCTCGTGTAAAACTAAGAGTCGTAATGAGCTGAAAAAGGCCTCACACACAAGCTGGTTTTAAAGAAAATGGAAGAAACAGCAGCGTGGTTTCCCGATCAATGGCGGCTCCCGGGCCTACTGAAGTGTGGGATACAAGCCAAGTGCGAGTGAAGAAAATCAATCGCTGGCGAGACCTCTTTCTTCAGCCCTGCTGCCCATCGTTAAATAAAGGCCTGAAGTCAAGGCTGCAGCGCGTCTGGACCAAGAATCTGAGCCAGTCCGCACACCTCTGGGTTAACATGTGGCAGCGCTCGCCAGCCACTTGTGAAAATTAGTTGTCCTCTTTCTCCAGAACACATCGTGCAGAGCGCCACGGCACCGGGCTGCAGAGCGAGCAGAGGAATTTCACAGATTCTACCCCAAACCCTTCCCTCATTTCAAACCGGGCTGGAAAACTGACTAGAATTTTTTTTACTAAAGCAGAACAAAATTTAGGTGTAGTAAATAAATAATAACATAGAGGAAAAAGAGTGTTTCTCAAAAATTAATTACTTAAAACAAAAGCTAAATTAAATGTTTGTTTTTGTTAAAGTTCAGATTCACACATAATTAAAACTAATTCCAATTTGTCTTTAAACAGCTTTGATTTTTGTCTTTTTATGTGGAACTATTTTAGTTAAATTCATATTTTTGTTTTGTTTATGCCAAGAAAAATAATATTAACTGATCAGAAAAGAAGAATATTGTCAGTGAGTAAATAATAACTTATTAATAAAAAGAAGGTCTCGTCATGCAGAACCAGAGTTTAAGCTCACTTCTTCCTTCACTTCCATTTTCAAAGATCTCTTTTCAGTTTATTTGAACAAAAAGAACAGAAAAACATCCATTATGCTGCATTTAGGAATAAAGAACATGGGAGTGAATGTAATTTCATGTTTTCGGTAATGATCCTTGACTCTGACCCACTCCTGCAGAAGCCGCTATGATAGATGAACCCAGACAAAGACTTAGGCGGTGAGCCATTTGAAAAGAAGCTGCTGTGTTTGTCCACTGTTCACTTTAAATACAAGCTAAATGTCAGAGAGCAAAAGATGTTTTAGAGTCTTCAAATCATGTGAAAAAATCTGAATGAGTTTTTACCAGAAATGGGGGAAAAAAAGTACGACGGAAAATTTGTGTCAAGTGACAATAAAAGGAAACGCTAACAGAATCATTTCATGATCAGAAACAGAAGAGCCTTGCTGGTGCTCATTTAGAGGAATAAATCCAGCTGAGACGTGTGAGCATCAGCGTTTCCGGATCCATTCACTCAGAAGAAACAACGGCCAGCCGCTCACACCTTTTTGTTTTTCTTCTACAGACTGAACCCCAAACCCCTAAAAACAACCTCAACTATCTGGATAAGTCAGGCTGCCCGTCTTTAACTGTGTGGCTTAACTCCAACAAACAATCTCCATCACCAGTAAGGCTAACTGGAACAGACCGAAGCCAAACGGAGGCCAGTCCTGACCCCTAGTGGACAATCCTGAAAACTAAACCACCTCTGTGGGGTTTCTCTCTTTTTAGAGATCAATGTGAGTTTGGAAAGACAAAGAAGAACAGAAACAACTCCAGCATCCTGACAAAGCTACAAGAACGTTTTAATGTGCCAAACGGGACGGGAGCACGACTTGCATTAACAGTTACTGTAGTTACTGTGTGTTAACACACACACACCAAAGATAATATATGTCATCATGGTCAACAGTGAGCAGCAGCTGCAGACTTGGAAAGTAAATGAGATGTAATAATATGATAGTCTAAGGAGCTACGCTAGCAGGATAACAGCATTTCTGACTAATGCTAATCTCTGATACGCACGAGGATGCTTCAGATGAACAAAAATATGTGACTTCTACTAAAATCACCCTCCAGAATCAGATGTGATTATTGTCTGTTTTTCATTTAGGGTCTGATAAAACATTTATAAATTATTTGAGGAGCTATAAAAATAAACAAACTAAAGGAAAATGATATAAACTTTAAATGAAATCTTATGAAAACATATGAATATTGACCAATGACATCATCCAGAAAAACTCACTAATGATGTATTTTTTACAATCTTTGAAAAAATGAACTAGCTGGGCAAGATGGTGAAAAATGAACATGAATTATTCACTGCTAGGCTTGGATTTGCTGCCATCTTCTGGCTACATTTCAGAACTACAATCCATAATTCAGACACACACACACACACACACACACACACACACACACACACACACACACACACACACACACACACACACACACACACACACACACACACACACACACAGCAACACAACTTTTAACATTGACTTGCTGTACAAGACTGAATACAGCTCAGATTAAAAGCCGTGTACTCACACTAAAAAACAAAATGGGGGTAGTGTTCATGTCCTGAAGGGACGAACAGATAACTGTGTTTATGGTAAACCCTTAATTCAAACAGAAGAAGTGGATCAGAAACATGAATGAATCTAAAGTCTCACATACTCACCCACTGTGCTTCATGTTGGGAGGTTTGTCCATGCGGACTGCCAGTTTGATCCTCAGATCTGTGTCCTGGCTGTTTTTGGGAACAGTCATCCGATGGAAGTCTGGCTGCTTTGGTCCGTTGGTGGTGGGACTCAGCACCACCTGAACACGATCAAAGGACGTCGGTAAGCAAAAACAGTTTCTTACGTCTCACCAATAAAAAGCAAAATACAAGAACCATTCTTGTTCCCATCGCTTTTGAAACTGAGTTCATATATATGTATATATATATATATACAGGTGCTGGCCAGTAAATTAGAATATCATCAAAAGGTTGAAAATATTTCAGTAATTCCATTCAAAACGTGAAACTTGTACATTATATTCATGCAATGCACACAGACCAATGTATTTCCAATGTTCATTACATTTAAATTTGATATTCATAAGTGACAACTAATGAAAACTCCAAATTTGGTATCTCAAAAAATTAGAATATTCTGAAAAGGCTGAATATAGAAGACACCTGCTGCCACTCTAATCAGCTGATTTACTCAAAACACCTGCAAAGGCCTTTAAAAGGTCCCTCAGTCTTGTTTTGAAGGCACCACAATCATGGGGAAGACTTCTGACTTAACAGCTGTCCAAAAGACAATCATTGACACCTTGCACAAGGAGGGCAAGACACAAAAGGTGATTGCTAAAGAAGCTGGCTGTTCGCAGAGCTCTGTGTCCAAGCACATTAACAGACAGGCGAAGGGACGGAAAAAATGTGGTAGAAAAAAGTGTACAAGCTCTAGGGATAACCGCACCCTGCAGAGAATTGTGACGACAAACCCATTCAAAAATGTGGGGGAGATCCACAAAGAGTGGACTGCAGCTGGAGTCAGCGCTTCAAGAACCACCACGAGGAGACTCATGAAAGACATGGGATTCAGGTGTCGCATTCCGTGTGTCAAGCCACTCTTGAACATGAAACAGCGCAAGAAGCGTCTCGCCTGGGCCAAGGACAAAAAGGACTGGACTGATGCTGAGTGGTCCAAAGTTATGTTTTCTGATGAAAGCAAGTTCTGCATTTCCTTTGGAAATCAAGGACCCAGAGTCTGGAGGAAGAGCGGAGAAGCACAGAATCCACGTTGCATGAGGTCCAGTGTAAAGTTTCCACCGTCAGTGATGGTGTGGGGTGCCATGTCATCTGCCGGTGTTGGCCCACTCTGTTTCCTGAGGTCCAGGGTCAATGCAGCCGTCTACCAGGAAGTTTTAGAGCACTTCATGCTTCCTGCTGCTGACCAACTTTATGGGGATGCAGACTTCACCTTTCAACAGGACTTGGCACCTGCACACAGTGCCAAAACCACCAGCACCTGGTTCAAGGACCATGGTATCCCTGTCCTTGATTGGCCAGCAAACTCGCCTGACCTTAACCCCATAGAAAATCTATGGGGTATTGTGAAGCGGAGGATGCAATACGCTAGACCCAACAATGCAGAGGAGCTGAAGACGACTATCAGAGCAACCTGGGCTCTCATAACACCTGAGCAGTGCCACAGACTGATCGAGTCCATGCCACACCGCATTACTGCAGTTATTGAGGCAAAAGGAGCCCCGACTAAGTATTGAGTGCTATACATGCACATTCTTTTCATGTTCATTCTTTTCAGTTGGCCAACATTAGAGAAACAAACATTTTTTCATTGGCCTTTAGAATATTCTAATTTTCTGAGATACCAGATTTGATGTTTTCATTAGTTGTCACCTATAAATATCAAAATTAAATGTAATAAACATCGGAAATACATTGGTCTGTGTGCATTGCATGAATATAATGTACAAGTTTCACGTTTTGAATGGAATTACTGAAATATTTTCAACCTTTTGATGATATTCTAATTTACTGGCCAGCACCTGTATATACAGTATATAGTGGCTTTGATTGGCTACAAGAATATTTCAGCTCAGCCAGCAGCTCAATAGTGCGCAAATGGCGAGTTTACCCCCCCCCCCCCTGAGGCGGAAAATATCTAACTGGTCAGATATTCACCTCAGCGTCTCATGAGGCGAAACACTGTGAAAATTAGGCGCACACGGCGAGGTATCTGCTGAGCAAATGGCCATTCGAGGCCATTTGCTCAGCAGAGTGCTCTCGTGTGCAGCAGGCATTAGGAATGAGATTCAAAGCTGCATTATAGGTACTGGAAAGATAAAATCTATGCCCCCCACCCCTATTTAAAGTAGGTTTTTCAAGTTAGATATAGACCGCTTCCTTTACTCCTCTCCCAAACCATCTATCTTCTCTGTCCATAATTTGTACTTTGTCATCTTCAAAAGTGTGTCCTTTGTCCTTCAGGTGTAAGTTGACTGCAAGTCTTGACCTGAAGAGGTGGCTCTCCTCCGTCTTCAAGAAACCAAAGAAGTCCAGTTGCCTTCATATGAACCCTTTTGGATTACTATGACCTAGATGACAGAGAACCTTCACCTGTGTGTGTGTGTGTGTGTGTGCGTGTGTGTGTGTGTATGCACCCACTCTGCCCAGCTCTTTGTCCTCCAGAGCCAAGACAGCGGTGTTTTCAGTAAAAAGCTTCACTTTGACCAATGGCAGAGGGTGAGTTGTGGTGAAGTCCCCCTGAGTCCCCCACCTGAAAAACACAGAATTTTGCATTTTAAAACTAATTTAAGTTTGTAAGTTGACAATTTCTTACAATATCACTACTTCAATAGAAAATTTTGGATTGAAATGGAAAGGCAAATTTTAACATTATGACCTGTATTATTCTAGCACCTTCTTATGTCTGGAACGCACCAGGCGTGAAAGCACAATGATGCGCTGCGAAGCGCCATGGAATGACGAGCACTTCTAATTGGTGCCCTTGTTAACCTAGGCTTTCAGGCACATCAGCTATGAACCGCCACGAAGGCTCGTGCCATGCAGCAATCGTTTCGTCTTGAGCTCTAATTTTGTCATGTGCCATGAGTGAGCTGCGTCAATTCTGGCAGGAAGTCAAAACAAAACAGAAGAGGCAGGTTGGTAAATTTAAAAAAATGAAGAATTTTTAAAAAATAAAACACTGCGATTGATAAATGTGATCATTTCTGTGTATCTTAACAGCCCATCTATTTTCATACGCTTATCCGGAGTCGGGTCACGGGGGCAGTGGCCTAAGCAGGGAGGCCCAGACTTCCCTCTCCCACTTGGTTGTGGCATTTTCGAGAAGACGGAGCAGACACACGCACACACCCACCCCCACGCACACATCTACACAAGATATTTACCAAGTAGTGCTTCTAAGGTTACATTGTGATTTCTTGGTAAATATTCTATTTAGTAAGAGACTAACTTTATTGTATTTATCCTAGTGAATCTATAATTAATTCAACAGGCAAACTAGATAAATTGCATTTCTTGCAGAAATGCTGTTTGAATGCTGGATAGCTGAAACTGTAAGCTGAAGTTGCTGAACAGCTGAACGGAAGCTGAAACTAAGCAAAACTGTCAAAATGAGCTGGATGTATTTAAAAATTTAGAAGCAAAAATCACCAACAAGTGAATAAAGCACCAAAAATAAGTGAAGAATAGAGAAAAAATCTTAAACAGCAGAAACCTGAAATCTGTGAACATTGTATAAAAATCTGGACAGCGAAAAATATCTAAATACTTGTTATTTGAGAAGGACTAGTTTAACAGTTTAATTTTTTTATTTAGTTGAACTGTGAAATTAGCATCATATGCCGAATTCAGAAACTGATTGCTGAAGCTGCTGAATAGCTGGAGTGAAGCTGAAACTAAGCTAAACTGTCAAAATGAGCTGAATGTATTTAAAGATTTAGAAGCGAAAAGCACCAACAAGTGTAATAAAGCTCAGAATATAGGTGAAGAATGAACAAAAAATGGTAAACAGCAGAAAACTTTAATCTTTGAACATTGATTAAAAACTCGAAATTTGAAATGTTAAACAGCTGGCATTTGAATGAGAATAGTTTAATGGGTACATTTTTACAATTGGCTGAACTGTGAATTTAGAAATATCTGCTGCTATCTGAAACTGACAGATTAACATATGTTCAGATTGTATAATGGATGAATGAATGGTTGGATGAATAAAATGATGGATGGATAGTTGGATGGATGGATAGATGGATGGATTCATTAGACCAAGCCGATAAATTTGATTTATCATATGTGTGGGCGTGTACTTCCGTTTAGCCAGAAGATGATTGAACTCTCTCAGCCAATCAGAGAGCTGGGACGGGGTTGGGCGGTTTCCCACCTTCTAACAGTTAATAAAATGTAAGTTATGTTTGTAGTTTTACGTACAGAGAGGTCAGAAAGATCAGAACCAGCGGTTTGCTATTGGCTGGATATTCAGCTTTTTATATTCATTCCTATGAGACTTGGTTAGTGTGATACTTAGTTCCTTGTGTTGCCATGGTAACAGATGACAGGAGTCTGCTTTAAACTAGTGATGTCCAATTTCACACGATTCTTAAATTTTGACTAATGTTTCTATGTTAATGTTGATACGATGGTGTCTTAAAATGTAAAAATGTTGTTTCTTACCATGTTGCCATGGTAACGAAGAACACAATTAAAAGTCAATGCAAGACTCCTGTGACCAAGCCAATCGGTTTGATTTATCATATTTGTGGGTGCGTATTTCCGTTTGGCCACAAGATGATTGAAACCTCTCAGCCAATCAGAGAGCATTGATGGGGGTGGGGGGTGGGGATCCAAAGTTCTGTCTGTTTTTAAAATCTCCACTATGCTGCTAGTTTTAAGTGTAGAGCACTCAGAAAGATCAGAAACAGCAGTCTGTTATTGGATCATTATTAGGCTTTTTACATTCATTTCAATGAGACTTGTTTGGGGAAATCCTTATGCACCTGTGTTGCCATGGTAACAGATGACAAGAATCTGACTCAATATGGTGAGGTCAAATATCCCATGACCTTTTTAAAATTTAAATAATGTTTGTATTTTAAAGTATGTTGATACAGTAGTGTCTAAAAGTTTGCAAAAAGTTGTTGCTAAGCATGTTTCTATGGTAACACATAACATATTTAAAAGTTAATACAAGATGCTGGAGACCAAGCCGGTCAATTTGATGTATCATATGTGTGGGTGCTCAGTCCTGTTTGGGCAGAATATGGTTAAACACTCTCAGCCAATCAGAGAGCAGCACTGTTTTCCCGCCTTTATCCTTACTGTTGGAGTCATGAAGCTGGAATAAAATAAATGGGACAAGCTGCAGATCTCACGCAATGCAGCTAAAAGACAGAAAGACACACACACACACGCGCAGAGAGAGAGAGAGAGAGAGAGAGAGAGAGAGAGAGAGAGAGAGAGAGAGAGAGAGAGAGAGAGAGAGAGAGAGAGAGAGAGAGAGAGAGAGAGAGAGAGAGAGAGAGAGAGAGAGAGAGAGAGAGAGAGAGAGAGAGAGAGAGAGAGAGAGAGAGAGAGAGAGAGAGAGAGAGAGAGAGAGAGAGAGAGAGAGAGAGAGAGAGAGAGAGAGAAGCAGACCGTCAAACTATTCTAAAAAGCTATTCTTATCCATTCCAAATTGGTAGACTATTCGATTAAATGGGATGAAGTCCAATCCTTCATATATGTGTTCCAGGTATAGGATTCCTTTGTTTTTCCAGTCCGGAAGGTTCATCATTTTGTTATTTTGCAAAATGTCAGGATTATTCCAGATAGGTGTGCATCTGCATGGTACTAGTGAAGACTCTGTCATTTTAAGATACTCCCACCATGCTGTCAGAGAAGTGCTGATACTAATACTTTTGAAGCTTTCATGTTTTCTTATGCTTGAGCTAATAAATGGTAAGTCTGAAAGCTCTATCGTATTGCAAAGTGTCTGTTCTATATCTAACCAGGCCTCATCTAGTGGGTTATCTTGCAACCATCTTGGTATATATTGCAGCCTGTTGGCTAAGAAATAATAATAAAAGTTGGGTAAATCCAGTCCTCCTCTGTCTTTGGTCTTCTGAAGCGTTTTTAAGCTAATTCGTGGAGGTTTATCCTGCCAAAGGAATTTGGTAATTGAGGAGTCCAGAGATTTAAACCAGTCAGCTGGTGGTTTGTTTGGGATCATTGAAAATAAGTAATTTATTCTGGGTAAGACCATCATTTTAATTGTAGCAACTCTCCCCATGAGTGATACTGGTAAGGATTTCCATCTTGCAAGATCATCTTCCACTCTCTTTAAAAGTGGGATGTAGTTTAGTTTAGTTTTATCTGCTAACTTGGGAGAGATATTAATTCCCAGGTATGTGATATTCCCTGACTCCAATTGTGTATTAAGTAAATTGACAAATGAGAAATTCATTGGCAGAACTGTGGATTTTAACCAGTTTATAGAGTAATTTGAACTCTTGAAAAAGAGTTTATCAGTTCTATTGCTTGGGAGAGAGAGGATTGAGAATTCTGGAGAAAGAATAAAACATCATCTGCATCCCTTTAATATCTGTTGTTTGCCTAATTGCTGCTGCTAGTGGTTCGATAAAGATAGCAAATAGTGAGGGGGAGAGTGGGCATCCCTGCCTGGTCCCCCTCTGAAGACAGAAGCTAGCTGATATTTGGTTGTTCGTCCTGAAACGTGCTGTTGGTGAACTGTATAATGTTTATAGCCAGTTTATGAAGTAGTTCCCAAAACCAAATTTATGTAAAGTTGCAAATAAGAACTTCCAGTTAATCTATCAAAATCTATACAGGTCATTGGATATTCAAGATGGGGTTTGTGTCGTCTGACACCTGTACACACTGCACAAACAACATTCCTGACAATTACATTCATGCACTGTGGTCCTGTCCACCTGTACAGGAATTTTGGGGTAGAGTATGTGAGGATCTGTCAAAGTGTCTGAAATGTCATATCCCAACCGCCCCCTCTCTTTGTTAGCTGGAAAACCTGAACGATGTCGCGATTGAAACATCTTTGGTTCACGTGGTTCTGACTGCCATATGCATGGCTAAGAAAACTATCCTCTTGAATTGGAAAAATAGAGAAACTCTCTGCATTAACCAGTATAGAAATCTTTTGTTAGATCATATTGCACTTGATTTAGCCTCTGTTTCCACTTCAAGTCAATCTCTCAGGGCTCCTTTGATCGGTTCCATCACATAACGATGATGGGGGACCATCGATGTTGTCCTGCGGGAGGATGTGGGTGGAGGGTCTGAGTTTTGAGTATCCGGATGTTCCTTGGAGGTGGGTTCACTGGGGGTGTCTGGGACTGGGGGGCCGTTGCCCCCTCTGGAGGTGCTTTGGTTGCCTCGGGGGGTGGACTACTGGCGGTTGTGAGTGGGGCCCCTTGGAGGTCTTGGCGGCGGCCATGGGTCACTGCCTGGCAGCTGCATTGCCCCTGGGCGGGTCTTGGTGGGGGCCTGGGGGCTCGGGGTGTGGGGGTGGCCGGCCCCGTGTGGGGATCTGGGCAGGGCCTTGGGGTCGGGTCCTGACATGTATGCTGCCAGGAAGAAGGCAGGAACATGCAGCAGTACCTGGCCCGTGTTCAGGGGCCTCGGGTAGACCTTGGCTCCTCTGCTGTCCCATCACAGGGGAGGGGGAGGTCCAGGAGGGGGAGGACCCAGCCTTACCTGGATGTCCTATGTCTTATATATTCTGGAAGTTGTGCAAATGCAGGGATGGGCATAGATTTTCTGCTGGGGTGGGGCTGGGTTGGTGCCCTCATGCTCCGTGGGGCTCTGTAATGCTGCTGCTTTGGGCCCTGGCAGGATGGGCTGGGGTCTCCATGCCCAGGGTGGCAATTTGACAACAGAGGTGCCTATTGGGGCCAGTGGGGGAGCTGGCTCCCTGGAGGGCTAAGCCCAACCAGCCATTCCTCCCCATCCCCACACATTTCTCTCCTCCTGCTCCCTCACATCATCACACAAACATGCACATAGGACCTTGGGGGTGGACACGTCAGGGAGTGTGGGTATGGACCCCATTTCCGCATTCCTGTGGCAACCTGCCCCCAATTTTATTTGCACCTTATACACTTCCACTGACGACATTCCACGCAAACACACACTTAGGGCCTTGTGAGTGAGCACATTAAACGGCACTTGGCAGGGGGATTTCTCAGCCTCCTCCCGAGTGCCGATGCCCACTTCCAATTTTAAACTGCACTTAGACACCGAGGGCTGTGGGTGCAAGTGGGGTGGTGCGGTGGCATCAGCTTGCATAGGCCAGACAATGCCCGCACTGCCCGCTCACCACAGCCATTGAATACACCTCATCAACACACAACACTGTATTGGAGCAGGCAGAGGGAGATTAGGGGTCTTAGCACACCTCTGTTGTTGCTTGGCCTCCTGGGGCTGGAGGCTAGGAGGGAGATCTGGCCGTCTGGTTGGGGTGTGGGGTGGTGGGTTGCTGTGCTCGGCATTGGGCGGGAGAGCCTGCTCATCAGCACCCCAGCAGAAAGGGTCAAACTCTGGTAACCGGTGATGGTTGTACCCAATGTGCAGCAGTACCGGGACCAGAGTGAATAGAGTGTGTATGGGGAGCATGAGTGGGTGTCCGGCGTGCATTGTTGTAAGTCTTGGGTTGTATGTGTATGTGTGAGCATGAGGGAGGGAGTGTGTGACTGTTTGTGTATGACTGTATATGTCAGGTGGGGCCTTTGACTCCTCCCCTCTCCTGGGACTTCTTTTGATGATATAGATCTTCGTCTCCCCTCCCCCTGCCACACCTGGTGTGGGGTGTGGTGCCTTGGTCTGCCTGAGTGTTCGTGGCTCCCGGGTCGGGGGTTTAAGATTTTCGGCGTCTGCCTGAGCAATCCCGGTGGCTGCCTGATGGAGTCTGGGTCCCTGGGCTCTGCTGGGTCCCCGGCGGGGGTGGTCGCCTCTGGGTCCCGGGTCGCTGGGTACCGGGCTCGACCGGCTAGGGGGTGGGAGACTGCGGGCGGGCCTGTGGGCTTGCCGCTGATATCTCCCAGGACTCTGCCGGCTGCTGGTTGTGGCCCCCCGGGGCGATCCTCTGCGCCTCTCGAGGGGGGCGGGGGGCCTTTCTGGTTGCAGTCCCCTTGGGGTTCCTGTGTTCTGGGGCAGCGCCTGGATCTCTGGGACTTGGAGCTCCCCCGTCTCCTACACATCTTTGGGGGCAGATCTGTGGTCCCTCACACTCTCTATTGGACGCTCCTGTAGAGAAACCTTACATAAACAAGCGTGTGTACACACACAGGTGCTCACATGGTGCTCTCAAAAGTATGGGCTTGGGCACGTTCAACACTTGTCTCAAGGCTGTCGTTGCCACTAAATGCACTATGAGTTATTATCGTGTGATTGCTCAGTTAAACAATGTTGATCTTATATTTCATCATCACGTTGACGCAGTGATAGCTTGCTCCTGATGTATTGTTGTGTGTCCCATTTTTTTCTGCGCTTCTCTTTCTGCAGGTCTAGAAGCAAACTCTTGTTCATTATTGTTTATTTCACAATATCCCACAGATTCTCTATGGGGTTCAGGTCAGGAGAGTTGGCAGGCCAATAGAGCACAGTAATACCATGGTCAGTAAACCAGTGATGTCTAGAGTGATTAATAGAAAAGTGCAAATAATCCCTCACTACTGATTGGCCTCGAGAGGCATCATGTGGTTGACACTGCTCAAAAGAGATAATAATTCAGGTTTTAGTGATTAAAATAGTAACACTTATGTATTCTTAGTTGTGTAAGGGGTGTTGGAAGCTAAAATAAAAGCACTTCAATGCTTGACTCCAAATAAAAAAAAAGACTGATATCAATATCACTCTTCTAAAATATTTTAATTTAACCTGTTGTCACTGACTAGCACCTGTTTGCATAAACTGCCAGGGTAATCATAAGTAATACTCGACCAGTTAACTGACAGTATGATCATAGATGATCAAGTTTCCAGTCCCAGATGAGATCAATTTGTTACAATGAACGTATTTATGAGTTCTGTCTGAAGATGACAAACACAAGAATGCACTAATTAGAGAAAGTTACTGGAGCTGCAGTGAAGTTGGGTTACCGCCGTGGACCCCTGTTGACCAGCAAGGTGGCAAGGTTACTTTGAGCTCATCTAATTGGATCTCTTTGGTGATTCTGGCAGATGGGGAGCAGCACAGAAAAAAATCCATTAGCAGCCGAAGCAAGCGAAAGGGCAGCCTCATTATCGCACAGACCCCTGCTGTCCGACAGACATCCAACACCCAGCTGCTGCCACCAAGAAGGTTCAGGGCTGTGTGGTAATCAGCTGCCAATGCTGTGCTTTCCTTAACAAGAATGTCAGGAAGAACAAACAACTGGTGGCTCAACAACAGGCTCATTTTTTTTGTTTTTGTTTCAATTCAAAACTTTTTTCAGCTTAAAGGTACAGGAAGTTTTAAAACCACAACCATGTGTTGCTCCCTTTGTTGTGCTACTAAAGTGTTGTTCAAATGAATCTTATGTGCATCCTCATCTCAAGTCTTGTGGATTTTAATTATTGAGCACCTTAGTAACAGTTGTTGGGCATCCTTGGTACTATCCAGTCCCCTTGAGGAATTTCTGCTCCAGTAGAAACCTTCTACGTGCAGACATTTAGTGGCATTCTGGAAGTGTCTGGACTAAGCTGCTTTCTCAGGTAAAAGTTAGGTCTAATAGAAGTAACACATGGGCAAAGTGTATGAGATTAGCCGTTTTTGGAAACTTGGTTACAGTACAAAACTCCTACTAAGATGATGCAGTTCATACTAGGTAAACAATAATAGAATTCCTGTAGGAGTGTTGTCCATTCAATTGTGACCCATTTAAAGGTGTGTATGACTGTAAAACATTTTAAACGAACATTTCTGATAATATTCAGTCATTCTGGTTTTTCAAGCAGGCTGAACATGAAAATAGTCTCCTACCCTATGTCCTGCATTAGCTTCTGATAGAAAATAGATGGGGAAACCCTCACAGATCTATGGCACACTGTGACTCTTAAAAGGCTCACAGGAGGACTCGCCACATTTGGATTAACGAAGAAACTGGAGAAAAGGAAAGAACCTGCTGACCATCTACTGCTCAAAGTCCCTAAAATGAAATATAAAGCTTGGGGGGAGCGTGCGATCGCCTTTGCTGCTCCCAGACTCTGGAACACACTCCCTCTGGTGGTACGCCAGGCTTCCTCACAGGCACAGTTTAAATCCAGCCTAAAAACGCATTTCTTTAATTTAGCTTTTGGCCAATGATCGTTCTTTTATGCTGTGCCTCTGTTCCGTTTTTCGTACCTTCTGTTTTTACTGACTTCTGTTTTCATTGGCTGTTTTAACTTTTGTTTTGATTTTAGGTATTTTTGTTTTATGACAGTTTTAATCTGTGTTTAATGTGTATGTATGTGAATTTGAATGGCTTTTTATGTTTAACTGTGCAGTGCTTTGGTGAGCTGACATGCTGTTTTTAAATGCGCTATATAAATAAAACTGGATTGGAACCTCACAGGCTCATAGATTTTACAGCGACTACGTCCCTCAAGTTTTTATCAATGGTAAAATGGTAAAAGGCCTTGTTAGGGTTGTACAACCCCCCAAGACTCTTCACGGGACAATCAGTCATCCACCCATTCACACACTGGTGATAATGTGCTACAGTATAGCCACAGCTGCCCTGAGGCGCACTGACAGAGGTGAGATTGCTGAGCACTGGCGCCACTGGTCCCTGGTTCCTCCAACCACCAGCAATCAACATGGGTTTAGTGTCTTGCCCAAGCACACAACAGCCTCCTGATCGAACCTACAACCTTCTGATTGATGGACAGCCTGCACCCCCCCCCCCCCCCCCCTTAAAAGAATGAAACTTTCTTCAGTGTGACCTTCCTTCCACCATGATTGAGACATTCAGCTGTTTTGTGATTATTTTACTGTAGATTTAACATATTGTACATTCAAACAACAAAATCTGCTAAAGGATAGATTGAACACTAAAGATCACTTGTGTGCATGACAAGTCAATCTGATCAACTCATTTGGAAACCACCACTGTTTTGTTGTACAACTTCTAAGGACAAATGATGAGCTTTCTTTTGCCTTGACAGGTTACCCCCCCCCCCCCCCCCCCCCCACCCAACCCCAAGAGGACACAAAGATGGACTCACTGTGGTCTGCAGGCTTCAGCTTGGTCAGTCTGCAGCTTCTGCCCTCCCTCCACCTCCATGGTGCAGTAAACTATTCGGTTTGGAGCCAGTGATTTTAGACCCTGGACCTCAATAATCACAACCTGACAACATCAACGTAACATTAATGCAGACGGTCTGTGTGATTAGGGGCATATTTAGATAAAATAGTTATGCTTATTGAACACACACACACTGATGTTCTTCATAATTGCCTCAAGGAATGGATTATAAATATGTTGAGGAATTATTTTCTATACATGTCAGAAGTGGTATGACAAAATGAATCTAACCTCCAGAGTGAACGCCAGCACAACATCTGATTTAGACAAGATGTCTCCCTCATCCCCCAGGTCAAGGAAAGAGTTGTTCATGGAGGAGCGTTTGAGCTTCTGCTTGAAGTCTGGACCTCCTTTGGACACAGGCAGACTCTCCAAGTTGGCCATAAGCAGGTTGACGGATGAGCAAAGCTCCTCAGCGTACAGAGCCTCCATATCGGCAGAGACAAACTTTGGGTATCTCCTTTCCTGCAACACATGTTTCAGTCCAACACCATAGTCAACCAGTGAAGACAATTAAAATAGGCGTCAGTAGCTGAAAGCAAAGATGTAACTTATTTAGAGTGAATACTGTTTTCACCCATTCAGCGCATAAAGAAACTAGTTTCTCTCAATAGGATGAACAAACTTAACTGTTCAACTGGTTAAACATTTAAATGCAAATATCTCTTTGGTAATAAAGCAATAATCCATAACGGTTCAAATGGAGGCAATTAGAGATTTTGCTTCTCATCCGAGGAGCATTGTCAATTCCAGCTGGAATATGGGAAAGTCATGCTTATAAGCTGTAGCTGTCATGAGCCGGGGTGAGTACTCGTCGCACTAAACCATCTTTGAGGGTGTGTTTGCAGGAGAGGGGGCTACAGCTGCACCTGGTCAGCGGGTCTACTACTTAAGGTGGATGGAGAACACAGCTCGACGCCGGATGATTGCCACTGTTTGGTAGTTTCCAGCCCTCATCTTGATCTCAGGTTTTTTATAACTCGTATATTTTTGGACTTGTGTGATTTTGTGCATTTGCTCACCTGCCTCAGGTCTCAACACATCAGGATTCAACACCACCACTCCATAGGACTCCGGTATCACTCTGCCATGTTCATCATCCATCCTTACCGACCCGCTCTCTCCCTACGCTCCCTCTCCATCCCTCTGCCCTAATCACACACAACCCAGTAAGTCTCTACTCTGCACCTTCGAATAGTGACCTACTCCTCAGGACTTGCCTCATTCTGCTTTCCCCTCCAGACGCTGCATTCCCGTTTCCTGTCCACTGGAATTCCCAATGTGCTTTTAGTTGTCCTTTTCCAAAATAAAATCTTATTTTTCCCCATCATTCTGTGTCATTGGGTTGATTCTGCATGTCTTGGGTTAGACACCTCCCCAGAACATGACAGTAGCTGTCTGTTGTTGTTTAACTAGCAGAAACTACTCTGAGTACCCCTCCTCTCCATCCCCTGATGAGTTGTTGGCCTCTACTGAGAGGGAGTCGTCATGTTGACTAGATGCAGGAAGGTGTGACCTAGACTGAAACTGCTTAGGAATGAGATTCAAAGCTGCATTATTGGTACTGGAAAGGTGAAATCTAAGCCCCTCCCCTATTTAAAGTGTTGACATAGACAGCTTTCTTACTCCTCTCACAAACCATCTATCTTCTCTGTCCAGAATGTGTCCCTTGTCATTTTCAAAGGCGTGTCCCTTGTCCATCAGGTGTAGGTGGACTGCTGAGTCCTGACCTGAAGAGGTGGCTCTCCTGTGTTGTGCCATATTCTTGTGTAATTGTTGTTTATTTTCCCCGATGTAAACATCTGGACAGTCCTCTCTACACTGGACTGCATTAACAACACCACTGAGCTTCTGTTTGGGTGTTTTGTCTTTTGGACTGAGGGCGTTGTTGGGTTTAAAGTTTACCAGGATGTTGTGTTTGGAGAAGAGTCTTCTACGTTTCTCTGAGACTCCTGACTTTTATGGGATGGTGCCTTTGCGCCTGTTGGCCTTTTATTTGCTGGTTGCTGCTTTAGATGCTTTTCCAGACTACTTTGTTGCCAAACAAGGTGCAGCTGTCGGTACCCCATGATCCTTAAACCCAATTTTATTAATTATTTTTGGATACATTCAAATACATGCATATTTACATTACATTGTTTACTATTGATCACTTTGATTATTTTGCTCTTCCACTGGTGATTACATGATTTGCTCAAAAGCTTTCATTTTCGCTTATATATTATAGGGTTTTGTTATTTTGTTCGTTTGTGCACCACTTTTTCAGTACACGTAGTTTACTGCATCCACATCTTTCAGCTGTCCTCTTTTCACATACATACATATAGAACATATAGGGTACATGTAGTACTAGTGTTTTTTATTTATTTGTTCTCTCCAGATGTCCTCACTATCTGGGAATGACATCGCTGCTTCTTGGACCATCGCCTGGTTCTGCTTTCTGCTTCTCTGGGTTATGTTTTTCTGGAGTTCTGGATGTTCTATGGGTTTCCTGTCTCCTGGATTACTATAGATCACTGTGGTCTAGTCTGTTTCTCTTCATGGCTCTGGCTTCCTTCTCATCGTGGTCCCTGCCTGCGGATTTCGCTAAGTGGAATTAGAGTCTGCTGATTGGGATATCTATTGACTATTCTGCTGTGTGGGGGTTTGCTTTTCCTCACTCCTGCTACTTCGGTATCTGGGAACTAACTCCTTCCTCTGCTGAGTCCAGAGGGCCTCTAAGGTTGTCCAACGCTTCGTGGTCTTCTGTCCGTGACCCCGTGTCCTTGTGGGGATGTAATGTACCACTGGTCATATTTTCACCAACAAATTCACCAGAAGTTAACTTTTCATTTGCAGACACAAAAACACCATCTGTCTGGCCTCCAAATCCAAAACAAAGCTCTGCCCCAGTTCTCGTTACTGCAAAGAAGCCACAACATCTTTGCTCAAGGCCTCATGCAGAAGTCAGACTGCTGCATCCTCACTCTAAATAGATTTCACCCACCTCAAAGTTCCTATGTGACTTTACAACTAATATGTTGAAACAATCATGTGTTAAATGAACAATATGTTTAAATCAAATGTTTGAATAATATCTGCTTTAATCAATGACTTGATGAATGATGAAAATTGTTCCTGCAATGATCCACTTCATATCTCATCTACACCAGATCAGTATGTGTTGATTCATCAAAGGTTAATCTATCAATATGATAATTATCTACAATAAGACTATTATTATTGTTAACATTCACCTCACATAAGTGTTTTAAAACATTCTCACAAAGGGTCAACCATCTTTCTGACTGAAGGAGTGACCTCTGAGGTAATGTTTTGATAATGCCCTCAGTGTCAAATTCTAATTTGCCAAATTTATAAGCAATATGTTTTAATAAAACAGGAATTAGTTCCTGATTGATTCAGTTTCCAGCTGACTCTCGATTCAGCTAAATCGAGGAGAACGCATTTTGAAACCATCCTATTGTATTGGCCGTAAAGGACAAGAGGTCACCTGTACAAAAAGTATAGAGCTGAATTGTGAATCTTTGGGTTAAAAGCTAGATTGTTGATGGGAAAGTTCATGTGTTCCCGTCAGCTCCACAGGGGTTTTGTTTTCAAGACTGTTTCCAGGCAGAGCTAGAATGCATTGCGTGTAGAAGTGTGTAGGGGGGTAAATATTGTTGCTTTTAAGCTTAATATATTACCTTTACTTATGACCAGTAAGATGTGATATTCTATATAAATAAAGAATATCAACCTGCTTGGTGTTTGGATGTTTAATCAGAAGATTCTAGGATTCTTTGCTTTTTCAGCGATCAAACACACTTCGTATTAATTCAGACAGAGTCATGTTTATAAAAGGTAAGAATTTATTTTCTAAACAAATAAAAACATGACAAGTTAACTAAGACTACTGTGATGGATGAATCTAAGTGGATGGGATGTGATGTATGGTGATTGAATGGTGTGTGTTCATCAGAACCTTGTATCTAGAAGAACTGAGTTCTGGGTGAAAAGAATTTGTTCTGCATCAAACTATGGATTTGGTTCTTATCAAAACGGCATCAGACGCAATCGTGTGTGTCTACCTCACCCTTTCTTTGGAGACCCTCTTCGCGGATCCAGAGGTCAGGAAGGTCGGATGACCTCTGGGCACCGAGGTTCGGTAGATTAACCGCAGCACCGACGCTCCAGTCCAGAGATGTCGCCAGGCACACAGGTTGGAAATAGTTTGTGTCTAGAACAGTTGTTTCTGAATAGCTGAAGGAACCGTTTTGCTGTGTCTGCTGTAGGCAGCTTTTAGCTTGTCGAAAGCTTGTCAAGAGATGCGGTGGTTATAGAGTTTCCTCTGGTGGCCTGTCCGGAGGTTTACTCAAACTAACAGAATGCTGAATCACTCCGTAAGTGATCCTGTTTTAATATTCTCATATTATGATTTACTTGGCCAATCGGGACGTGCCATGTTAAGAGGTGTTAACAAACAAAACTCAGAACATCACGCCTTCTCAGATACAGGATGCTCTGATTTGTGGGTAAGAAAATATCTATGTGCAGAAATTACATTAACTTTATCTTATGAACATTGTGTCTGAGTGTAGATAATGATTCACTTGTTAAACCAAACATTACTGATCATAACACCAAAATGTTTCATGGTAATATTAAAATTCCTTTCAACCTCATTAACTTAGGCACAGATTAATCAAAACACTTCATTTAACCATATTGTTCATTTCATTTCATGATTAATTAACTCATATGAGCTGAAAATGGTCACTTTATTCAGAGGCATAAGGAATCCTGTAGAAGCGATAAGGGAAGCTTAGGCCTTGAAACGGGAACAGTTTGTTGACAACATGTTATCATGTGTTCAGAGCTGCAGAACCTTCTGGGCTTGTTGGAAGATAGAATGTAAAATCCACCTTAGAGAATGGAATTAGGTCTGTAGATGACCGGTGGCATGTAGGTCAACATGTAGGTGAAAACTGACCATTTCTGGACATTACAAGTGTTTATCAGATAAGTTTATGGCCGGTGGTCCAGGCTAATAACAGTATTTAGACAGGGCTATTAATTCTCAAGGTGCAACTGCCAAGTTAAAGCTAACTTTGGAAAGATCTGATATCAAGTGGAAAATTGGAACCAAATGTCAAAGACTTGTTGTAATACCACTGGGACATCACCAAGTTTGGGAAGTGGACACTGTTGTGCATGCACGTGCAGCAGAAGTGTATAAAATGAAGTGCAGTGTTCTTGTTTTTGGTCTTTGGTTCAAAAGGCTGTTTGTATGTTATGAGCAGATTAGACTCATTAAAGACCCACGCTGTCAAATGGTAGACCCGTCTCCAACTCTTTTTTAAAACCACTCAACCCTCTACACTATCTTTTGACCTCGGGTCAAAGCCTCTCTGCAACGCTGCGGGTGATATCAGAAAAAAATGGCTCTTCTAAAAGCCACAAAACAGACTTGGATGCAAACAAGC